TTTACCCAAGCGCAAAAAGCAATTCACAATAGTGGCATTCATTGATACCATGGGCAGAAAACTATGGGAAGCACTGGCGGACGTTTTACAGTTGATGACATTTCAGGCATGTCCGGACTCCTTCCATCAGGGTGATGGCATCACACAGCTCAAGCAAACAGCACTTTTCCTGCACCATCGGCAAAAGCTACGAGACACAACAGAATACGTCCTGTACAATCAGGACTTGGCCGGCTTTTTCACATCAGTGGACAAGGGCCGTTTTCTCTCAGCCTATAGCATTCTTGCCAGATGGTACCGAGAGAAAAATCCACTACACTCCACCAATTTCTACATTGATCATTCCCAAAAGGACCCTACACACAGGGTTCAACGTGGCAAAAGCAGGCAAAAACAACAAGAAGCCTCGTCGGGCAACAAGCTATGCATCCGTTTGCAACACATCCCACAGCTTATCACAGCAGTTTTGATGCTCAACTACTTCACTGTCGGCACGTCCCTCATCGAATCGAACAATTTCGTGGAGCACCTATGGGTTCTCCCTGCAGCCCAGCGCTATGCAACATAGTGGTTGCCGTGGAAGAACAATGCTGGCACAACACGTACAAACAGCTCTTCACCAGCCACAAACACTTCCCACACATTACTCACAAAGAACAGGCCATTTTCTTTGCTACCCGATATGTTGACAACCGCGTTCTTCTCTGCCACCTTTTGTACAGCTCACAGCTGCATCCTTTTACAAGCCACCGGTTCAGCTTGAAACTGAACCGGCCGACATTTTCCTGGGTTTTGCTGTAAACCCGCACAACAGCAGCCTCACCTACCAATGCAGTTTGCACAAGGCAGACATTTTGCACCCACAATCAACGGCCTCTACATCAACACCTCGCAGCAGCTATCAAGCGCACACACGCATGGTCCGGAGAGGGACCATACCATACAAAGAAGCCACACATGCTGTTCGAGCCATGCGCGATCTGTGCATCGCGGCCGGCTACACCGACCAACAGCTGTAGCAAAACAAAGCGCCAAGTTGCATTGAGTTGGATGCGATTTGTTGAGCAATGTCAGCTCATTCTCGCCACTTGCCATTTGTCTGATGTGTACCGCGGCCATTTACAGGTAGGAACTCCAGCAACATGTACAAGAGTGCTATGACCGGCAGATTGCAGCCGAGGCACAAAGCGCTGAGCAGCCGACCACAACATCATTCCATTTCCAAGCAGAACAAGCGCAGGAGCAGCCGACCCACAACCAGCAACGCAGATCCGTCGGCATTTCCACCACTACGCTCGCAAATTTTACGGGTTGCGGAGCAACAGGAGGACGAGGAGCACCAGGAACAATCGGAAGATCCGGAAGATTTCCCTGCACCGAGCGTTCCAGGGCCGAACACTCCACCATATCCTCCTGATGTACCACCTGCTCCGACGGATACGACTGAGATTATTAATTTGTTGCATCAGTTTCACACCTCAATGCTTGAGTCGAACGCCAAGCTTGAACGCTTGATGCAACAAGCCACAACAGTGTTGACAACCCAACACGAAGCCACTACTGCAATCATGGCTTCGTGTAAACAGCAACTTGATATTCTCGAGAGCCTAATGAGGCAGAACACACCAGACTGGTCGTAGGCGCTGATCCATGCGAGATGTTCGGCAAAAGAGTTACCTCAGTCTGACGGTGCAATTACTCTACATCATACAACAAGCCATTTTGGACTCCTGCTGTAAGTTTTGGCCTCAGCTGTGCAACTTGCACTCCCCAGCATTGGAGCCATGAGTGCCGCGTCCAATCCCACAGAGACAGAGACAGCGACTACAGCCTCACCTATTATGGACGAGGCACGACGTGAAGCTCTTAGCCAGGCGCTTATGGAGATTTTGACCGAACACCGAGAGCACGGCTCTGACACAGGCAGTGAAGTCTCTACCTTTAGCGACTGGGCCTTCCGTGATCAGTTGGCCGAGTTCATTACTCAAACAACTAGACAAATTTCAGAGTTGAAGAACCGAGTCGAACGACTCGAAGCTTTGATGCAGACGTAAAGAGGACCAGCACAATGTGAACAAGCACGTTGCCGTACGGTCTACGCTGAGAATAACTGCAGCCGCATACATTACAGTTCATGCTGCAAACAATTACAAGCGGCATTCGTGACATTCTTTCATTGAACACTTACACATCGTTGACCGCAGCCATTTAGCTTACAACCGGTTGTGTTATTATCATGGACCGACGCACTAGATCAAGATCTCCACGCGCGTCAGAGTGGAGATGGCATTGGGCCACCAATGTATCTTCATGGTGGCGAGAATACTTCATTGTTTCTCAAGAATGGATACGCAGCCATTCACAACAACTTGATCGGTGTGCAGCATCCCCTACTACTACCACACAGGATGCAGAATCAACTACGTCAACGCCTACATGCAACAAGAGAAAGAGATCCAGAACTCCATGAGCAACACAGCTGAGTTGATAATTAATTGCACACTTGCTGCTGACAGCAGCCACACCACACAGCAAAGCTGTACTTTTACATCATCACAGTTGAAGAAATTGGGCCTCACTCTAAGAGCATGGATGAAACAACTGTCATGTGCTACGAACACCGTCAACGCTTTGCTGTTGTTGCAGTCTTGTACTTGAACGTGAAGTTGCCTTACTTGAACTTCCGCAGCCATTTTACTTGAGTGAAAAGCATTTACATACTTTGGCCTGACATGACGTCACACCCGGATGGTGACGACATCAGCTCGTGGGGATCAGAGGAACTTGAGGCATTCTTGAAGAAGGATGTTTCTCAGAATCACGCTTCCTCGAGCACCACCAAGAACACCAATACAGCAGCCACTACTACATCTACTACCACGACTAAAAAGATGACAGCGGCCGAGGACGAGATCAGCTCGTGGAACTCTGATGAGCTCACCACATTCATGCAGAGCGACAAACCCTCATCCCACAAACCTTCTAAGAAGCACAAACGTGCCGGCCGCAAGACCAAGAAGAAGGACAAGCGTCGCAGAAGAACATCTACCAGAGCATCGACAACACCACCATCCAGCAAGCATCCTCAAAAACAGCAGAAGAGATCAAAACCAGAACAACCACGTTCGGCACACTCAACTTCGTCAGCATCTCCTACGGCATCCGCACCTGCAGCTGACGCCTGTCCTCGATCGCCATCCCGTGAGCCTTGGTCTTCTGATTCCATCGCTCCATATGACGTTGTGTGTCCTACAATCATGTACAAACGTTCGAAGACTGCATGCGCTAAGATGCTTGTACGAGCTGGATATCGTTGCAAGTGTCACTTCAAATTGTTGCAGGAGTGCCCTTTCAGGTAGATGTTGTGGCTTCGCGATTGCTGCTGATGGCTTGCAGAAACAAAGTGCGACTACGCCCCGACAGGGGCTGTGTGTGTGTGAACCTCCCTAGCACATGGGAGCAGAGGGTCACTCCTTTCCGCTGATTTTGATGCCTTTTTGAAATATCTATTCTTGGAAACATTTGATGGTGTGCAGGGGCATTGGGCACGCCTTGGCAAACCCAATGCAACGAAGCTATGCCATGGAGTGGGAAGCAGTTCAGGACGCTGAACTGTGTACCTGCAAGCTGGGCCCCCTGAGGCAGCAAGATTAGAAAACGCTGGCCCCCTGAGGCAGCAAGATCAGTGTTCTTCCAGTTTTCCACATCAGTCGATTGAGCATACAATTTTTGCACGTTTGGCGCAATCTGACGAACACATGCAACAAGTACAACATGCATCTCTCTCTCTCTCTCTCTTTCCTTTTGCACTCGTACTCTCGGCCGAATCAGTCAGTGTGTGCATGTGTGTGTCGTTATGTTACCTATGGTCAGCCGAGGCGAACGCCGGCAGTTTCGACGCTTGCCTGTGGCGGCTGGCATGCTTGCCTGCGAACTCTGTCAGAATACGACGGACAAGAGAAGCGACATGCAGTTGCACTTCAAGGCCAAGGGCTTGGGGCTAGAAATCTGAGAACGGGTCCGTGGGTTTGAGAGGGTTGCATTAGATTCATTAGATGAGACATCATATCAGTGCCATGCGTGTTTATGATGGAATCGATGCGTTACCGTCTTTAGTTGCTGTGTTCCGCGGCGGAGGACCACCACATGCCATCCAGTGAATGCGACGTGTTGCGCGCCGAAGAGGAATATCGGAAACGCATGGTGTTCTATGAGGAGGAGCATGGAGTCTTGGCTTGGATGTGGATGATATGTGTTTGTGTGGGTGCGTAGCTGTGAGGTGCTCCGCGTTGTCTGCTAGGTGTTTATGACACATGTTGGTACTGGGAGTTCCGGGTGTACTGGTGGCTTTTTGGAATCTTAGAATGTCAGTGCAGGTCCATTTGCAGTGACGGGAGTGCAGATGCGCCGTGGTTTGGGCGCACATGCTTTTCATCAGATCCATTCCGTGCGCGGCGAGAAGGTGGAGCCTCGATGTCTGCGACCCTGCGTTGTGTGTGCCCGCGGCATGTGGTCGGAGCGCATGCGTAGCATGCGGTTGTTCACGCCGCCCTCTAAAGAAGAGGAGGACGCTTCGGAGCAGGAGGAGGCGCTGGAGGAGGAGCCGGCGGGAGATGTGGAAGGTGTCGGCGGAGTCGAGTTCGTAGGTGTCGGCGAAGGACCTGGCATGCTCGACGCCAGCAAGGTGAAGTCATCCACGACAACATGTAACAAGAGGTATCGTGCTCGCTGGCCTTTGCTGCCCTATTCCGAGCTGATGCATAGCTGCGTGTCTCATACCCTATGGTCGCTACGCGGATGGCTCGCCTTGGTTGTGGCTTCTCCACAAAGCATCGGTTCCCGCTGAGCTGACACAAGACACCCGAGTTTGGGTCTGCGCAGACTGCGCGGGCAGCTTGACTCGGAAATGCCCACGCGTTCCCAAGTATGCGCTCGCCAATGACCTTTGGTTAGGACGAGTTCCGGCTGTGTTTCGTCCCAACAAGAAGCGATTATCGGCCATGACTTTCATGCTGCTTTCGCTGGGGCGGGCTGTGGTACAGAAGGTCATTGCAGAGCGCAGGAAGCCGCAGCGGCCAGAGGCAGAGGAGAAGCAGAAAGGCATGCGAGCCAACACGGTGGCGTTTCCTCAGGCGAAGATGAGAGAACTGGTGACCGCTCATTTGCCGCCCACAAGCGAGGAAGCGACCCGCTATCTGGCGCATAGCCTTTCGATTGCGTTGGTTGGGGCGGATCCCGAGGCACCTTGCTTGCCATTGAGCGTTGGTAGGCCGTTGTCGTCATTTCCTATGCACGAACTGTTGGCTTTTGCGCAGGTGATTTTTAATTGTGTATTGCTGCTTCTCATGTCAGGATTTGGAGCACGCGAAATGGGCGGAGATTCCAAAGGATGCGTACATGGCGGCAGCCAGATTCTTGGTGACGCACAATGTGGCGTATCAAAACTTGGATGTGAAGGAGGATGCCGCGCGTGAGCATTTCTTGAAGTTGGGCGAGGCAGTCAAGGCGCAGGCGGTGTCCATAGTGGCGGAGGAGGCATTGCCAGCCAAGTTGCCGGGGCCGGCCGAGCTGTCGGATGAAATTGTCGCGGAGGGCATGGAAGAGTCCGCCCTGACGCGATCAGGCGAGGATGAGGGAACTCAGCAACAACCGGAACATGACTTCCAAGAGAACGATCGGACGACGACCAGGAAACTTTGCCGGCGCTGCATTGCGTGGCTGCCGAAGTGACGTCAGCAGACCTGGACGTGGAGAGATCTTGCAAGGAGCTGGCCGCGAAGATTATATTTCTCATGATGAAAGGCGGCAAAGACGCAGGAAATGTTGAGGCTGAGGTCGAGAGTCTGCAGGGCGCGGCGGCGTCCATGTCGCAAGCCGAACTGCAGCAGCGCCTAGACGATCTAGTTCGTAGTGTGGACGAGGCGGAAGGCCGTGTGCCTGCGCGACTTGGCAGCCATGTGACATTTATACTTGAGCGTGTTTGAATGTATGCGTCTGTGTTGTGTGCGTGTGTAAGGGACCACATGAAAGAAGTTGGTCTGGCTGCGCATTTCAAGGTCTACAGATGCAGATCCTTCCTTGAAGCGAGTCCAGGTGGTGTACACAGGTTCGGAACCGCTGTCCATGTATCATGCCGAGTTCTGGCAAAAGTGCTTTCCGGAGCTGTTTCCATATGGAGATGGTGTTTTCGGTATTCGCCACGCGACGCCGCTGACTTTGCGCGAGTGGGCTGCTTACTTGTTGGAGCGTGTGGAGTTGGAGTATGATGTCCCAGTTGCAGCTGACGAGCAGGAGCCAGTATTGCAGGGCAAGATGGCGGCAGGACAGCAAGCCGATCCCGGGAATACGGGGATTGGAGGCCTGCATCCTGATGGCAGAAGGAACGCGCAGACTGGAGGCATCGGCCCCGTCGGCGGTGCGACGGGCAGCGCTGCGCCTGATGGCGCAAGGAGTGGGCAGACTGGAGGCATCGACCCCGTCAGCGGTGCGACGGGCGGCGCAGAGTCAGCCGGTGCTGTGCAATATCAGCCCCCTGCGATTGCCCGCTGGCGGGCTGACTTCAATTTCATTGCCGTGGCCAACGATTCCTGGAAGCGCATGGAGTTGGTGCGGTGTGCTTCCTCGTATGTTCGACGTCGTAGTTTCAAGCAGTCCTACTATTTTGGATTGCACCGCCGAGAAACTGTCCGATGCGGTGAGATTGCTGGGAGAAAAGGCAAACATGGTGGACGTGTTCCGTTCCAGCAACGTGCACGCTGACATTAAGAATGCGTTGCTGGACTTACACCACTTCTCCAGTGAAATAGTTGGCAGCGACGGCGCACGGCAGCAGTTGCGGCACGAGCAAAGTGGCGCGATGCTGCTACGGGGAGGCATCGATGGTTTCTTGACTCCGAACGTGGCAGATGTCCGGAACCCCTTGATGGTGACTCTACACGCCGGATGCGTTTCGCATCCTGATGGCGGGCTGGATGCGGATGGTCTATCCGAAAAATTCACGGTTTGTTTGCTGGAGGAGGACCGGGGAGGGGGGAGGGGGGATTGTTATCATCGTCTATTGTATCTCTCCCTCTCTTTATATATACATATATATATATATACTTGGTGTTGTTTATACACTTTGGTCGTTGACCCGGCCAGGAACCCAAAATGCCCTCGACGAAAAAGATGCTGGAAGGGGTTGCCAGCAACCCCGTCGCCCAAGCGCAATTTTTCATAGTCTCCATGCAGTTGTTTTTGGAGCACGTGCTGGGCATCATGCCCTTCGATGAGCAGCTGCGTGCGCTCGCGGTGGATGTGCGTGGCCCGATGGTGTGGCAGCTATAGTTTTATGGGAGGCAGCTTTCCGGCGATCTACCAATTGCATGGGCCAATCGAAGAGCAAGCTCGACTCAGTGTTCATCCACACATTGTGTTGCACTTCGTGAATCGAGCTTCCAGTCGCTGGATCAGGTCAATTTTGCGGTTGGAGACGGCCGAGGTAGTGTTCTGCAGTCGAGAAGAACGTAGTGTAGGCCTACACATGTTTGTCGTTCTATACTTGGGAGGGTCGCCAATTTTTGTGGTGATTCGTGTGGAATAGCGCAGCAAGGGTCTTAACTTGATTACCTGGGCCGCAGGCGCGAGCACGGCTGGCGGCGTGGCAGGAGGCAACTTTGCAGGCTGTGGAGAGCATTATGTCGTCCTGTGCTTCGTTGTTGCCTTTGCAGTTGCGGGAGGGTCCTATACTGGACGATGTGAGCCTGTCTCCTTTGCCGTACACAGCCAAGTGGCAGAAGAGTGATCGTTTAGACGGGGAGCTCGAGGAGGCGGTCGGTGAGCAGGGCGCCGTTCAGGGCGAGATGTCCCTGGCGCAGGAGGCCACGACCCCGCGTCCGGCGCAGGAGGCCACGACCCCGCGTCCAACCCTGCGTCAGGATCTAGGGGGCGAGCAGGGTGCCGTTCAGGGCGAGATGTTCCGTCGTGCCCTGGTGCCCGTTGTAGAGGGCTACGTGGATGGTCATGTGCGGAGGGCTATGGAGGCTGCTGGAGATGTACCGTCTATGGAAACGGGTACGAAGGTGAAAGTTCGAGACCTGCCATTGACTGGCGCTGTTATGTCACGTCTACCGCACTATCGCTTACTACCATGCCTGGAGGGACGTTGCGGCTGTCCCATCTGTCAGGAAAAAGCCACGGAGTATAACCACCTGCGGACCGGTGCGGTACAGCTGGACGTGGAAGCGGCTGCCTTCCGTGATGCCTTTTGTGAGGATGTGCGCACCGTTTGTTGTCTGTCGGGTCATCTGCACGAGCACCAAAGCGCGTGTTTCAAATATGCACCGGAAGGTAGTCGACGCAAGCCGCAGCACTGTAGGTTCAACTTTACGCATGTCGTGTCTTTGCCACTGACAAATAAAGAGACTGGCAAGACGAGGTTACGAGTCGTCGCCAGGACCGGCAAGGAACCGAAACTTCCCATGTGGCCTGGGGACTCTCCGCCTGTGCCATCGGGCAGAATCGAAATGTCTGAGGCTTATTTTCGCGGCAGAAGCACGCTTGGAAGTCGCGTGGAGACTTCGCGCAAGAGCGCAAACCGTGGACGGGTGGTGACTGTGCAGTTCAATCCACGTGAAGGTCAATGTTATTGCGCGCCTTGGCTTTCATTTAGGATGCTATGGCTTTTGGTACTTGTATCACAATGTCATCCTTGAGAACCAACGTATCAGTTAAAGTTGATGTAGAATTGTTCTCCGCAAATGCTAGCGCATCGGGAGGTGGGTATGGCATCTCATCGAGGTAATCTCAATTATCAAGATTGCAGACGCACGCTGCCTGATGGCTTCGAAGAGGACGGTGTGGATTATCTACGCATGGTACTCAGGTACTGTCCAGCATTGTTTTGTGCTGTTTCTTTTCTTGGGGCGGGCTGTGAATCGAGTGGTGTAGTTTGCTTTTGTAAGCGTCTGATTTCGTGAGGACGATGTATTTCATGGCATACCGGTTCGTGGCGCATGGAAACGATCAGGAGGCAACGGCCCCAATCGCGTGAGCGGGGAAGGAAGTCTCCATGGTGGCAGGCATCAGGTGCTGCTGCTTCCGATGTTATGATGGGAACGGACCAAGAGCCTGTGACGGATATTCAGGTCTCGGGCGGAGTGGCTCGGCTGCGCAGCACGTCCTTCTATGAGGGTTATTTGCATCGAGGTTCGGAAGAACCTCTGGCATCCATGTCTTTGTATGTCTACGCCATGCACGTGGCGTGTGTGCACATCAGGCAGTCTGGTCATCACGTCCATGGCGAGTTCCTTTTCGAGGAGCACTATTCCAAATCCAAGACGCATGTGCAAGTTCTTCAAGGAGAGCCACGTGTGCCGTGTCTGCATGGCATCACTGTTCCAAGCCGTGCAAAAGACGCGTATATGAGGGCGGTGTCACAGGCCGAGTTGCAAACCTTCGCCGATCGAGCAGATGTTCATAGGCTCATGTAAAGATACAAAGCATGTGTGCTGGGTGAGCACTTGAAGGGGTGCCGTGTTGAGGGATTGCGTCTGTCGTATGCTGCAGGTGAAGTTGACGGCCGCGCGCCGATGCGCGACGGCATCTTGTCCGTGTGCTGGTGTATGTCGTTGCCCCAACATATACGGTTCAGGGTTAAGGGTTAGGGGGTTGTACGAATCGTGGTTTCGGATTTGCAGGGCTGTCGTTTCTGATCTGACTGAATGAGGTGGTGGATTTGGATTCAGTGCGGGCTTTTCATTTACCCGAGCATAGCTCCAAGCTTGCAGAGGGCGACTCGCTGCTGGGACTCCTGCGAAAATCTGCATTCCTTTTTCGACGCAAGGTGCGGCTGCGAAACAAAGAAACCTCGCGTGGTTCTTTGAGATGCATGCCAAAGTTTAGTGCGCGTGTCACAGAGGGCATCCTGGACTATGTCGGTTACGTCTTGAATGGCAATGCAGAACCGATTATTCTAGCTTCGAGTCCAAGTCAGCTCAAAGCTTGCCGTAAGCTTTGCGGAGGAGACGCGCCTGTTGTCTCTCTAGGGTGGCATTCGGAACAATTGTCCGCTGCGGAATACAATGGCTTCATTTGCCGGAATGTCAGCGCTAATCTGGACATGATGTGCGAGGCCTGCAGTCGTCCTCGACCTGGACTACTTCATCCGAAGGCTGCGTCAGACGACGTCGGGCTGAAGGGCGAAGTGGTGGAGGAGGAGTATCGCGATGCGGCAGAAGACGTGGCGGAGGGGGACGTCGAGCCGCAGTCGGCTCTTCGTCCAGAGTTGCGTTACAAGCCGGTCCTGAAGGTCCAGCACAACGATGTGGTTTCATCTGCGCATCGTCTGGAGCTGCCATCAGGACCTGCTGGTTATATTTTACGCGAGTGAATGTAAAAGAAAAATGTTTTCCTTTTATGGTAGAGGGTTGACCACGGCACGGCACGAGTATATCGGTGAGGACCTGGCCGCATGTCTTCCTCCACGAAGCGCTCTGCTGCCTTCATCGAACAATTTGCGCGCAAGTACGAGACCATTCGCGAAGCTAGGCCGTGTCATGGAATTGTTGACAGGATCGGCGTGACGCATCGATCGGATGCAGGTGCTTTTGCTGCACAGCAAGAAGTACAAGCACGTCGGAAGGCGGCAGAAGAGAATCCTGGACATGCGCTCCGAGGATTCCGCCGACGATTCCGATGTGGGTCATCCTCCTAAACAAGTAGCTGGCGAGGCCGTCGATGGTTGGATGGAGATCAAGTCGCCGGCAGCGTATGCCATGGAGCTACTTCAGCAACGTCTTCCAGCTCCTCAAGTTGGTGGCGGCTATGCAAGCAGAAATTGTGGGGGAAGCTGGGCTTCGGTCGGCTTTCGGTCGTTCCGACCAGTTGGGAACCCTGCTCCCTTGGGTTAAGCCCGCAGCTTGGGTTTCTATGCACGGCTGTCTGGTTCGTAGCTGGCTATTTGTATATGCGTGTTCATTTAGGCACTCGACTTGTTGAGCGTAGATACAGTCTTGAAGCGAGGACATGGTCGGTCGCATGTTTTACCATGGGCCTGGAGGCAGTGGAAAGACGTACATGCTGACCCAAGTGGTACTTCCAGTTTGCGAAGCATATCTGCAGTCATGTGCCAGTGCCAGGGGCGTGGCTGCGCAGAACTCAGCAGCTCGCCTGATTCGAGGATGCACCTTCCACTATATTTGGCTGGGCTGGCCAGGAATCAGGCGCTCGCCATCAAGAAGCCGACGAAGCGGCGTTTGGCGGCGTTGGTTAGGCGATGGGTGCGTGCAGTACTCTTCATTGATGAGATTTCTTTGACGCCTCCTCCTTTGCTTGCCGTCCTGAATGCGTCCGCTGGCTGGGGTCGACAGGAAATTGCTGCACTAAAGGATGTGACAGACTTCCTGGAGCGTCCACTTGGTGATATCCTGTGTCAGATCATGTCAGGCGATTTCCTGCAGCTCAACCCGGTTCTCAACCACTCGCTAATGGAGGCATGGCTTCAAGTCAAAATATGATATCGACAGGCCAGTCCTGTGCCGTTATGAAATGGGCACATGTGAGATTGTCAATTTTGGGCTGCAGAGTGGGTATCGCTTTTTCGAAAGAATACGGCGGAAACAAGAGCATTTTAGTCTGCTTGATCTTCAGGTTGAAGGGGGGTTACCACGAAGACGTGGAAGGCTTCGACCTCGCGTTTTCCAGTGGAGAGATGCCGCAGGCTTTCGGCGTCGTCATCAGTCGCAGTCCGCAGTATGAGAACATGGATGCTTCGCTCCGATTGCAGAAACAGCGTATGTACAAGGCCGGATACGATGTCTTCAAGAAGTTCATGTCCCAGACGGTGCTATTCAGAGGCACGCACCGGTTCAAGACGGGCGATCCTCTGGCTCGCTTGTTGGAGCACATGCGCCTCGACGGCTACAAGCAAGAGGTGCGGAAGAGCATATCGTCCGGACGTACAGGCTCGCCGCCTGGACAGCGATTACATCATGCGGGACGAGCAAGGTCGTCGAGTCGGGCCAGTTGGTTTCTTTGCTAACGGCGTGTTCTCGGCTGTAAACTGGGATCAAGTGGCCAGGCTCCAGCAGATATCCGCATGGGAGTCCGCGTGCTCTTCCCGCGGTGTCAGCGCCTGGGTCAATATGTGCGAAGAGGCAAATTTCAAAGCGGTGCGCGTGTCTCGATCTTTTCCACCGGCTGCAGGGCGGAAGTGGTGTTGTCGCTATGGCGCTGTGTTGGAGTTGGTAGCTGATTTCTTGTTTCCCAAAGGCCAGCTTTTGTAATATGTCCAGGCGGTAGATTTGGTGCATCAGCCGGAGTTTGCTCGCGACGAGGATATTCTCCGCGATGCACTGAAGATGTGCAACATGTCCAAGCAAACTGCCAACCTGATGTCTTTTCTGCCATTGCACGTGGGCCTACGACGATGCAAATGACTAAAAAAGTCATGGCGCCTGAGTTGGTGCAGGAGTGTCCTTGCGAAGTTCTGCGCATCAATTTTCATCCGCAGGAACGCTTCGGCGTACCAGGTTGCCCGCCGGGCTTATCGCAGCCGCCTGCGAACCATCCGGCCTGGGAGACGGGCTGGCTGGTGTTGGACTACCTCTTGCAGTCCATCACTCTTCGCATTGACGAGTCTGAGGAGGCGGGTGCGAGTGTTTACTTTGTAATAAAGTATTGTATTTGTGTTTTTTTGCCGTGTGTTGGACTGGCAGCGTCTCCTGGTGAGGATTACACTGGCCAGGGTCTTCCTGGTGTCTGGCATTTGGAACCAGTCAGTGATGACTTCAGCATGACCGCGCGGCAGGGAGGTCAATTTAGTGTGACCGTGACGCGTGTGCAGTTTGGCTTGGCGCCAAGCAAGGCAGGCACGTACAACAATGCACAGGGGAAGACGATTCGTGAGGCGGATGGCACTGCTCTGGGTCATTGTATCGACTTTACGAGACCGGACTATTTCACTGATGAGGAATACACACAGCATGTCTACATGATCTTGGGACGGGCTCGATCCATGCAGTGGAGCCTGTTTCGCAACTTGCCCACCACGGCCGACGGCGACATTGACTTCGCTGTTTTCGAAAATGGCCCGCCTGCGCACATTTCTGAGTTTTTGCGTGAGCTGGAGGCGGGGCGCGCGTCGCATGATGTGACATTTCACATAGGATCCTTCTCTGTGCGACATGCATGTGTGGTGAAATGCACGCAATGAGATGATGAGAGTTTGTTGGATGGTCTTAAATAAACGCAGGCCTGCGCTCAATCTTCGCGAGCGTCCGTGGAAGAATGTCGGAAGCTGCTGGGTGAGTTTCCTCGATCAGATATCCTTCCACGACCGAGGACACGAACGGAAAAGGGTGATTTCATATATGAGCACGATGCGTGGGCAGGGGCGCTGCGGCAGTCTTTGCCGCAGAATGCAGAGGGAGCGGACGCGTCTGCTGAAGGCATCGACCTCGCGCGCGGCTCGGCCGCTGCAAAATCCGCAGGCGCTGAAGGCAGCGACCTCGTGCGCGGATCGGCCGCTGCAAAATCCGGAGGCGCTGAAGGCTTCGAGCTCGCGAACTCTAGCAAGAAACGCGTTCCGGATCAGCAAGTGCTTAGCTGCTTAGCGATACAGTTTTCTTGGCGGAATTGGATTTGAAGGCAAGCATGAGTTCCTTGCATGTGGTTACTGCGACATATTGTCGTCGACAGCTTCGATGTCGCCCACTTGTGGTAGACGCAGGCAGGGGGCAGCCAGGGAAGGGTCGGGTGTAGCTGTATAGAACCTAGCAAGTATTATGTGTAGTAGCATCATTTTGCAGGTGCGATTGCTGTCGCTGTATATGAGTTGTTGTGTGCGAGGTGGCGGCGGTGATTGTTTCTTTTTGGCAACGCGCGATGGAGAGACATTTGGCACGCGCTTGGCTGACAGAATATCCAGCCGGGTGGGTTGGGATGTGGCCTCTCGTCGGGACTTTGCTGCCGTGCTTCGAAGGATCGTGGCAGAAGAAGTGCGTGATTGGCCCGCCGCGAAACTGTTGCAGTTTTTGGTGAATTCTCTTCAGCGCGAGGCTTGTGGAAGATGGCACGATCACTGGAGTGCCGCAACCTACTTGGAAGCGTCGCCGTTTGGTTTTCTGCTAGAGTGCAATGATCTGGTGCATGTGGATGCCACCGATTCCGGTGTGGCGGTGCATTACAAACGATTGGACCAGACGAGACGGACGTGACGTCGGAGTACGTTCCAGTTGGCGCGCTTGCTTTGTCGAATCTGCAAGAGCTGATTGCCAGGCATTTGGAATGCATGGGTGATATGCATTGGGGTGAACATCTGGATGTCACGATTCTAGAGGAGAGGTTGAACATCGGCTTCTGTCTGTTCGGTCATCGAGCTTATGGTTCGGTTACGGAACCGGACATCTGGATCATGCTGCACTACATTCAAGATCAGCACTTCCAGGTCATGTTCCTGAAAACCAACGAGACTTGATGCTACTACACAGATGCAGAGCTACCTGATGCGTTACGTGAAGGCCCGCTACTTCAGTGAAGGTATAGGAAATATAGTGTGTTGTTTGTAAGCTTGCATTGCGTGAAGGCCTACGACTTGGATGAAGATGTCGGCAAAAGTGTCTTGGCATTGTCTTGGCAAGAGGGGGGGGGGGGGGGGGGGGGGGGGGGGGAGCGGATCGTGTTATGAATTGTCTTAAATAGATGCTGGGGATTGCTGTCAGAAGGGAGGAGGGAAAGGGGGGGGGGGCGGGTCGTGTCATGAAATGTCTTGGATACATGATGGGCATTGTGGTTGGAATGAGCAGACTTGGACTATCACATGATGCGTGATGCACTGGCGATTGTATTGTTTCAGAGTGTTTGGCTGGAAGCTTTGGCAACCCTTTGTTCTGGCAGGCGCAGGCTGTCTGGGCATGTTTTTACGTGGTCACGATCTATGTGATTACGGCAGTGTGAAAACACCCCGTGGTGCGTGATGCTTGACGTGTGTGCATGTGCCAGAAGCGTGGGACGTTTGCATTTCCTTGCCATGTTGCTATGTTTCGGGTTCAAGGTGTTTCAAGCTAAAGCTCCATGCGAAGCATCGCGCAGAGGCTGTCGGCCGCCCTGAGTACCAACGCAGACATGACCAAACAGCCAGAGGAAGGAGGCATCGGCCCCGCCCAGGCAGGAGCACCGACCCCGCCCGGACGTTGTCCAAACAGCAAGAGACAGTGTTTGCAGGCGTGGTTGAGGCGAGGAGCAGTGCCTTCCAAGTGCCAGCCATTATCGTGGATTGCCGTGTCAAAAAGGTGAAAACCTTTCACAAGATGGCTGGCTTCGCACTTGGTTGCGAGCGTGGAGGCAAAAGGTTCGAAGCCATAGGCCATAGGCCAGCTGCCAGCCCTGCAGGCGTTGGGTGACAAGCTGAAAGGTGGGTAGTTTGGTGATGTTCAGCAAGCTGAGCATTAAAAAATCCGCTTACCACAGCGGCGGTCGGTATCTTGATCTCTCAGCCAAGTCTGGAACGACCGTGTCGGGTTTGCCGCCTGTGCATGTCCATTACCAAGATCTACAGCTGGCTGGGCGCGAAGGCTTCGCCTGTAACTCCAAGATCGCTGGAAGGCCTGCGCCGTGGCCAGAAAGCAGATGTGCTGGGCAAGGTGACGAACGTGACGGTTAAGGATTTGAAAGATGGCAGCGTGTCTTGGCAGTTGCACAGGATGTGTTACATGAGATGTCAGAGATGTCATGCGCATCCGCCTGTCATAACTTCGAATGTTCGAGGCAAAAGGTGAAGTTTGGCTGAAAGACGACAGCGACCGGCTTGTTTTGTGCGAGATGTGGGGGAAGACGTTTGCAAGTTTGGCGAAGGACATGGCAGTGGGTCAGGCTGGTCTACCGAAATATATGAAGAAGCCAGCTAGCAGTGTTTCTTCGGATAGGCTTGTACGTGCATGTCCGATGATATAGTTCATCTCGGCCTTGCGTGGAGGTGGTTCGCGCCATCAACTTTTCCGTCGTGACGCATGACGGGAAGTCCATTTCGCTGACCGGTGAATTTTTCGCGGACAGCGAGCGCGGTTCTGCTATGTTGGAAGTCGTCCTTGCTGGCGAGCAAGTTGAACGGCTGGCGTCCGTCCAGGAAGAGGGAGGAGAGGCCATGTCGACTCCTTGGACGGCACCGCAAAGCTCGAAAATGATATACACCGGGACGTGCTTCGTTTCTTGTCTAGCGTCCGTAAAGAACTCCATCCTAGTCTCCTCGACAGCAGACACAATGGCGTCGCAGGGTAGTGCGGCGGCATCCGAGAGTCGTCCTTTTACGAAGGAATCGTTGAAAGAAGAAATTCGGGTTTTCGTACCCGGTGTGTGGCTCACAGATGTTCGAGATCAAGATCCTGTCTTCCACGTCTGCGAAAGCTCTCGTCTGAAGATTGATGCCGTCACTGGACTCTGCCGCAAGAGCGGCGAAGCTTGTCAGTGCAAGGCAGCTGCTGAGCCACTTCTCCTGACCAGCGTGAGCCTGCGGGTGACGGTGCAGCAGGATGAGTTCTGCGTCCTGGTTCGGACAAGCACGTTGCAGGATGTGCAGGACGCGATCTTGGAGACGGGGATATCTTCCCTGACTTTCCAAAGACGGTGCGATGTGATACTGGGATCCAACAAATATGTTTCCAGTGGAGACTGGACTCACGCTCAATTCCAGGTGTTGCGCGCGGAAGAGCAGTTGTTGGCACCCGTGAATACGGAAATGAGGCCTTTGCCAAGTTACGTGTACTTGACGGAGGACGTCACTCGCTGTCATCACTATGCTGTCTATGTAGACTTGTAACGTTTCTTTGTGCTCTTGGCAACTTGCTGTTTCCGGTTCGAGTTGTCTGTAGTACCGAGGCTGCACATGGTCAAGTCATCGCGTTGTCCTCGCTCGCGAAGGTGCCGGAGAGTCCGGGCGGGGCACGTGTGGAGGAGGCAAATGGCGTCGTGCCTGCAAGCGTCTTCATGTTGGTGACGGCGCTGGACAGGGCCAAGGCGCTGCAGTTGGATGAGAAGACCATCCAGGTGTCGCACGACCGTGTGCGGTCCTTGCTGCACGCAGATGAGTCCGCGGAGTTTCGCGTGGAGGCACTTGCTACGTTGTCGGACATGTTTGTCTTCAATCTGCAGAACATGATTCGGATCATTGTCGGTAGCTTGCGTTTTCGAAAGGGCGTATGTGTGTTTATGGCCGATCGCATATTTTCGCTACCTGATGGGCTTTCTGAAGAAGATGCAAAGAATATCATGGAGACAGAGATTGGGAGCGTGGCCGCCGTGGAGAAACGCAGCGGCAATCGACGCAGGGCAGGGTCTCTCATGGAAGCGACTCCGGCCAAAAAAACTTAAAGAAATTTGCGTAGAGGATCGACTGCACGGAGCATGCAGCCGCTGCCTGTGATCTTCAGGAGGCCACGACCCCGGGGATGGCTTGCTTTTGTGCTATCCAGAACGCATTGCCGGCGGAGGCGAGTTTTGCATTAGAAAAGGAGACATGGTGAGCGATAGAAAAATTCGATATACTCGTTTTGAGGGCTGGATCAGTGGGGGCTGGATCAGTGGGGTTTGAAGGCCAAAACCAATTTTCTCAATAGTGCAGCTCAATATACCGACATAGTGTTTCAAGCTGTTGTAGCATTAGCTTATTTATGTATTATATTAGGAATTTCAGTACCGAGCACACTAGCAAGCCTGCGTGAGGAAACCCTTTTTTGCCAAACATTTTTGCATTGTCCAAGCCGGATGTATTGAGCGATGGTGTTCACTTCTGTCCAAGCCGGTTGTGTTGGAAGCTGAAACGTGGTCCTTTGTCACGTCACCTGTCACTGCTTGGTTGGCTTGGTTGGCTTGGTTGCTTGGTTGGCTTGGTTGGCTTGCTTCTCGCCCTACCCATCCTGCACGCCCCAGCTCAGAGTGGTCTTACAGACCGCTCCAGTCGGGCTCGGACCACGTGAGCAATGGGTCCTTGATCCGTGCGGGACAGCGTCGCTGGCCGGGCGCTGGGGATTTACTCTGTGTGCTGCTTGCCTGTCCAGCCAGGTGGTGTGTCCGCCGGGGGGTGAAATGCACACAGATTGCAGGGAAGGCCTTACCAATATATACTATGCCACTTACCCACACCACGGTCGAAGTCTTGAACACTTCGCCCACCGCTGCAAGCCGGCATGGCCCCGCATGGCATCTTATGCTGTGCCTCATTGACAGGTCTTCAGTAACCGGCGTGTCGCGCAGCGATTCCGGTGCACTCGATGACGAGCATGACCTGTCCTCTTGCGGGCCTGTATGCAGGGCAATTGGATTTCAGCGCTCCGCATAGGGCAAAGAAGGCAAGCACGACGTCCAAGGCCCTGATTTGCCGGCGCATACTCAGCGGGGTGACCCCATCTTGGCCGAATGGGGGTGGCATTTAAAGAAGTCTCCAGTCCGCATGACTGTCAGAGCACGCTCGTGTTTGCAAAGACGCTGGGGAGGCCGTTACTGTGTCGGCATGGCATTGCTTGGCTTGGTTGATTCGATTGTTGCGGTGGCGTCAATTCTGGTAGCATCAATTCTGGTAGCATCAATTGTGGTAGTCAGCATGGCATTGCTTGGCTTGGTTGCTTCGATTGTTGCGGTGGTACCAATTCTGGTAGCATAAATTCTGGTAGCATCAATTGTGGTAGTCAGCATGGCATTGCTTGGCTTGGTTGCTTCGATTGTTGCGGTGGTGCCAATTCTGGTAGCATAAATTCTGGTAGCATCAATTGTGGTAGTCAGCACGGCATTGCTTGGCTTGGTTGCTTCGATTGTTGTGGTGGCATAAATTCTGGTAGCATCAATTGAAGTAGTCAGCATGGCATTGCTTGGCTTGGTTGATTCGATTGTTGCGGTGGCATCAATTCTGGTAGCATCAGTTCTGGTAGCATCAATTTGTCAATTGTGGTAGCAACAATTGTGGTAGCATCAACTGTGGTAGCATCAATTGTGGTAGCATGCTGCGCGGTAGTATAATACTTATTGTGGTAGCATCAATGGCAAGGTGTGCCTGGCATGTTTTGACAGACCCGGGGGGGGCAGGGCTGGCACAGTAGCATCAATTGTGGTAGCATGCTGCTGGTAGCATCAATGGCAAGGTGTGCTTGGCATGTTTTGACAGACCCGGGGGGGGGGGGGGGCAGGGCTGGCATGAAATTTGCATTTTGCCAGGTGAAGTCGTTTTCCCAAGGCATCTGATATTTGTGCGGAAGGCTCAGTCAGTGTGTGTGTGTGTGTGTGTGTGTGTGTCAGCTTGCTTGGTGATTGATTGTGAGCCCCTTGTATTCCCAAGGCATCTGATATTTGTGCGGAAGGCTCAGTCAGTGTGTGTGTGTGTCAGCTTGCTTGGTGATTGATTGTGAGCCCCTTGTATTCCCAAGGCATCTGATATTTGTGCGGAAGGCTCAGTCAGTGTGTGTGTGTGTGTGTCAGCTTGCTTGGTGATTGATTGTGAGCCCCTTGTATTGTTAACCTCATGCTGCAGTTCTGGCTCAAGCTGTGCTATTGTACATACAGAATCCTAGTGACACATAACTGTTGACATCTCAGGTGACGCATATTATTCTGGGAATTCTCAGACTCAAATTTATATGTCGAGTGTGGCCCTCCAGCAGCTCCCTGACGAATTGCGTGTCAAGCAGGAGGACGGCGAGGATCTCCGGAAAGCACAGCAAGCAATCTACTTGCTCTATTTGCTCTCCCCGAGAAAGGCTGGTGATCTTGTGACACCTGCAGCACATTTCAGACAATTTCCAATTGAGAATAATTTGCCACCTGACATGTCATTGTTTCAATTCAGCGACATTTGAGGAACAATTTCAAAAAAGGAAGAGTCGGCATCCACAAACCAGACGCCTGGATTCTGTCAGCCTGTAACAAGAACGTTAAAGAGCACTTTGGCAAAGATTGATGCAGCCCTGTGTTTTTTTGAGCTTAACCTTTAAAATCATTACAATTCCGTGTTCATTCGAGGCACAATATCAGCTTGGGGCTAGAGTACAGCACTTTCGATGTCGCACACTACTCCGGCCGGAAAGCAGACGAGCCGATGCAAAGTTCCCACTTGGGGCGCGCAGAGGAGGACGACGATGCTTGGGGAAGCAGATGGCAGGACCCCCAGAAGCACAAGAGACAACGAACCGGCTATTGATGGTGCTGATGTGAGCTCTGTTGACAACGTGAGCTCTGTTGACAACGTGAGCTCTGCAGTTCACTTGGGCAGCAAAACCTACGTTTGGCCGAAGAGAGTCGTGATCGTTGGTTACGGGGTTGCCAAGACGGGAGGTCGTCCACCACCTCAGGTGACAAAATTGTTGGAGAGGTTGACAAAGGAATGTGACTGGTCCAACCCCTGGGAGGTTCGCTTGCAGGATGAAATGCACGTGAAGAAGCTTCATGACATTTGTACATTTTTCATTCAATTCAGTTTCACTCAATTGACAATTGAGGGCAGTGACAGTGACAGTCATGGATGGAAGCCAAGGGATGCCGATGGAAAAAAGTTTGGCAAAGATTGTGGCCTATACCAGCGTACCATGGCACAGGTGCCTGGTCGAACAAGTGTTGTTTCATGAATCGAGTTGTATAATAAATAATAATCCTGCACCCTAATGACCGAGGTGTATCGTCATCCCGCAGCACTCAAGACGCTCCACTTCATCCTCAATTTCCCCCACAAGTTGCTCAGGCTTCTCGAGTCTTTGAATGCTGAAGGTCTCGGAGGTTAGGTTCAGGGATTAGGATAATGGTAACCCTCCTACGTGGTCCTTGACTTGTCAGGATCTGCTGTTCCGCGGGCTTCCACAGGACGTGTGCAATGATTGCAATTCTCATGGCTCTCTTCAAAGTCGCTGTGCTGAATTATTGACTCATTGACTGTGACATTCAATTGTCTAGTTTTTATGTAAGTATCAGCTGTCAGTGCAGGTCTGTGGCATCGACTGCGTTGCATGGTTCGACACTTTAGTCCAGAATGAGAATCACGACCAGGGAAGAAACATCGCTGACGATCAACAGCACATTATCGACTTCGCCCGGGGCTTTGATGTGTCGCTCAGCAACTTCAAATTTCCGATTGTTGTTTTGAGGTTGTAATAATTAAATATTTGTAAATGTAATCCATGGTTCTGCCAAAGTGTGGATCAGGAGGCAGAAGCAACTCCTGCCGTCCATTGGTTGGACGTCGGAGCAATGGAAGGAAGCATTGGGCCATGCTTGGTCGACATGGACCGAACAATTTGCAGATAAGAATGATTATGCTTCCATTCAGCTGCGGCTTGATTCGAATTCCGCTTTGATTTGATTTGCAGTCTTCCCTGTAGTGCCAACACGTACCACTGTGACTCAGGAACTTGACAAAAAGAATGGAGTTGGACAAGCAGGATCATCCAGTGGACCAAGATTCATCAGAAGCGAAATCAGAACAAGAAAAGAAGAACTGCTGCAGCCGCAGCAGCAGCTGGGAGCAGCACTACAATTTTTCGCTTCTGCTTCAATTCAAGAATAAATAATAACATTTCAGTCACAATTGAGTGTCCTACTGCATCCTCAATTGAGTGTGTGTGTGTGTGTCGTCTTCAATGCAAAGCATTTGAGGTGCTGCCAGATACCAAAAGACAAAGAACTGCTCAACGTGAGCCCCCGGAGGAAGATGACGATGAGGGCACGACAGAGGGTCGTGATCCTGTATCCTCCAGTTCTGCTACTCCGGCTTTTGCCAGGCCACCAGTGCCAGCTCCAGCGTGGCCTCCCCAAGATTGGAATGATCCTTCAAAAGCATCACCAGCAAAAAAAACAAAGGCCGGGGCAACAGCATCAAAAGCAGGGGCAGGGGCAGGACCAAAAGCTGGAGCACCGGCAAAACCAAGAGGAGCAGCAAAAGCAGGGGCACCAGCAAAAGCAGAGGCACCAGCAAAAGCACGGGCATCAGCACAAGTTTGGGCAACAGCAAAAGCAAGGCCAGCACCTCCTGTGAAAAGCATGCCTTCAAAGCCGCCAAAGTCGGCAGTGATTGATGTTGAGCAATCAGAGGGTGTGCCGGAACCGAGAGCTCCGCCCAAGTCTCGTCCGTCACATCCGGGTGCAAGTCGGGCAGCAACACATCCACCTGAACCTGCCTTTCCTCCGAAGCCGCCAGCAAACCCAACACTTCCGATGATGCAGGCATGTGAGATGCTTGTTGGGGAATGCTTTCAGACATTCCTAGGTGCTGGTGCTGCACTGCCGAGCAACAGTTCAGCTCGAGCTTCAATTGAGAAGATGGTGTCGAGTTTGGCGAATGCTGTGTGGGAGAGGCTGCAGCCAAAACTTGTGGAACTTCAATTCATGTCAGAAATTCAGCCCGGTGTTCCACTGGCACCTGCCGGTGCGCTGGCGGACCTCGCAGCGTGGAATCCGCATCATCCTGAGAAGTCAGAGCCCTACAAGGCTGAGCAGGAGCAAATCGATCAGGAGTCGCAAGAGGAGGAAGAAGAGGAGGACGATGAAGTAGTGGTGCCAAGTACCAGAGACCCGGTGATGCAGCCTGGCAGTGATTCGCATGCAGTTTACAGTGTTGTATTGTTTATATGAAACAGTTGAGGCTGGAGATCCTGGCGGACTACAATATCCCTGAGGATGTCCAGGACCAGTTCTTCCACTTGGCCAACCAGCCGGACTTCCCAGTGGAGCGCCAGGTCAAGCTCATGCCGCTTGAATTGTTCATTGATTCATTCTGCACCACTGCATCCCTTTAAGACTCAGACTCACATGCATCAATCAATATCTGTAGTGCCAAGGATGAACATGCTGATGCGCCATGGTACCATGGCGCCGAGTACGAGCTGGCTCAGACAATGTGTTAGCAACTTGTCGTTGTTAGGGGACTGACAGTGCAAGTCCTTAAACTGAAATGTGGTGAAGCAGTGAGCTTGTGCTTGCTACAGGCAACGAACTGTCCCAGCCACACCCGCCATCCGTTTCGACAGAGCGGCCGTCATTGGAAATGTTCGACCCGAACTGAAGTGAGCTGACTGCCCGGGCTGACTGAGCTGAAAGCTCCAATGAGATGTTGAGCTTTCATCCATGGCACTTTCTGGTGCTCGTACACTAAGTACCATACTCAGCTGGTGATTTGGTTGAGTGAAATCTACTCAGCTGATTCCAGCTCTTCTGATTGGTTCATTCTCCTCGAATCACACAGACTCTGACAATTCCGTGTCAGTCAGTTTGAAGTAAAATTCATGCTATCACCCAAGCACACACATAATACATACACACACAAACACATAATATAATATCATATCATACAGCTTCCAATGTGCTCAGGTGCTGGAGTTCCTCGAGTTGCAGGAGGCAGTGACATCTATCTCACTGGTGAGTTGTCGATGAAAATGTTGTGTTAGTCAGTCGTATGGTCATAGATTCATGTTTTTGCAGCTGTTGGTGTCAACTTTCAGAATTGCTCCGAATAGTAGTTACGCTTTGGATTCCCATGCTGATGGATGAACACTTTCACAATTGAGTCTCAATTGTCACAATTGCAGCAATTTAGGATTGAGAGGTGGCTGCTGAGGCCAAACGCAAGCAGCATTTTTCGCATGTGACTTTTCTTGGTCGCGATGGAGTGTCCTCGTTGCCAGAGTGTTCTCGGTTGGTCACATTGGAGGAAATCCCAGTGGCACACGAAACAAGCTGAAACGCCAATTCGCCACTTCTTCAATTGTTGCCGTGGCTGTGGTAATGTCCTGGAGAACCTGTATGTGGATACACAGGAAGTCCAGTTGGCAGTAACATTTCTGGCCCGGATGATTGATCTTTTGAGAGCAGATTCATGCAAACTTCAGCGCAGGTTTCGGGATGTGTTCGACGGCTTGTGTGAGTACCCAGCACAATTTCGAAAACACATATCTCACGGAGGCTGCCTGTACTACAATGGGCAAGCGCATGATCCTGGGAATACGTTATACACAATGGCGTTGGAGTTGCTTCTGCCCGGATTCCGCAGAAACTTTCCTTGGGGCGAAGAGAAACTTGGAGACTTGGTTGAAGGGCTTCTTTGGGTATGGTCTCCGGAATTTATAGCCTCGGAGAAGTTGCAGAAGGAGGCGGATCAGATCAGGAGACAACATTACAGGAACATCCAGTGGCTTCTACAATGTGCCGAGCCACCAGTTTCACAAGATTTGACGATGATCGGATTCTTGCATGGGTGGTTTTCTTCTGTTTTCATGCTTTCGAGAGCCACTGGCTACACACAACCGTTCTCAAACGTGGAGGAGCTCCTTACATTTCGGGCTTGGACCCCTGAGAACTCTTGCCCAAACAAAGAAATGCGGGAACAATTGGAAGCGATGGCTCTGAAGTTGGACCAAATTCTGATATCAGAGTCTGAGGAGTCACTGGCCTCTTATCATTCAATGGAGGATGTAGAGGATGAAGACCCAGAGGAAGACAAAGTTCTCGAAGATGAGGATGTAGAGGATGGGGACGAAGACGAAGCCCATGCAATGAGTGATGATGAGCCAAGGCCAATGTACAGACATGAATTGTGTGACGAAACATCAGACGAAGACGAGGAGGAATTCTTACACTTGCTGTTGGAACAGTCCTCTGAATCTGAGGACGAGCACGATCCGGCCTGAAACTCTGACTCCTCAAATTGGTGTCGAGTCCTTTTGCCAATTAGGTCAGTGATACTCGCAATGCGCCTACCTCTGCCTCTGTGTCAAAACACTGCACAATTGATTGATTGTGATGACAGCTTCGCACACAATTCAGTGACAGTGGCGTTCACAATTGAGAGTTTGCTTGACTTGCAGATTCCTTACAGAAACCTGATGGTGCTGTCTATGAACCATCAGAGTGCAAAAGGAAACAGTGTCATGGGCACAGCAAAGTCATCCAGTGAAACTCTGCCTGACAAATCTGTGTCAGTGCACGAGTGGGCAACTGGCATGGCACATGTTGCGGTTGAAACCCAACCCAAGAAATGAACAATTCAATTCTGTCTGTCAGGTTGTTTGCCACAAAGAGGAACCATCACCATGCAGCCGCCTCAGTCTTGAGTGAAAGGTTCTTACATCCAGTCTTGGAGAGTTAGTTTGCCTGCTGTTAGAATTGTCTTGCTTCAGCTGCAGCCATTTTCCCCCAAGATCAATTTGGTCTTAATTTTGATTGACGATCATGTCGAATCCCAAGAAGGAGGGCTATGTGGAATCCCTTCAGTGCTATGTGGACGAAAAAAGGTGCCTCAGCTGCATGCTGTCCCACTTTGAAAGCTACCTGGCGGCATGGGACTACAAGCGCTTGGAGATGATCTCGCAAGACTGCAAATGTGATGATGTGGTTTTGGCGGAGTCCAAAGGCAGTGTGTCAGAGGAATCTGCAACCTGCAAAAGCCAGTTGCCGGTCAAGCACTGATGTTTCACAGATGTGATTTGCACAGGACAAATTTGAATTAGTAATTCTGCCATTTGCACTCACTAGCTGCAATTGCAGGTTCCAGAAGATTCCAGCAAGCCTGACACAGATCCTGACAGTGTGGCTGAGAGAGAGCTACGTGCACATCGTCCGGAGGAAGAGCCTGACACAGATCGTGACAGTGTGGATGAGAGATTTAGATGATGGATGGCGGCTCTGGCGGGAAGAAGGCAGACGACTGCAAGTGAACAATGACAGTTGAATGACAATTGAGTTTCACTGACTGGGACTGACAAGTCTGGAAACGAAGTCCCCCAGTTTGGCAATTGTGTTACACTCCCCAATTGTGGAAACACTTCAGCAACATTTAGCTCCTGCTGTGGTCAGAGGCGAATCAGCTTGAGAAGAGCACTTGGCCGGGGCCCAGAACTCACGACTGTGTTTGATTCATATTTTGCATTTGATCTGCTGTCTATTCAAGTCCTGCAAGATTGGTGGTGTGGACCTCTGGGTTTGTTTCACATGTTGTCAGTTCCTCTAGTGATGGTGCTGTTGAGCTTGCTCCAAGAACCATCAGAGGATCACAAGAGGAAACAGTATGGGCAGTCATCCAGTGGGACTTTGCCTGACTACAGAGTGTCAGTGCAAAGAGCATAATCTGGAATGGCACAGCTCTCCTTCAAGGTACATTAGTGCAATTGTCCTGCAGGCTTCTTCCGACCTGGACACCCAGAAGCTCTTCGTCGCCGTGTCCTAAGCAGCCAAGCCTAGTTCAGACTGTCTAACCCGGATGCATGTTGGCAAATTGTCTTGGGAGCTGTCAGGCTCAGACTGCAGTTTCACCAAAGTTTTCACATTCTCTGTCATTAACAGTAGCATCACCTGACATGAATGAAGCCATGGTGTTGGTGTTTTGTTTCATTGTGTCCTGTCCTGTTCAGATTTCCTGTCTTGCCGCCAGAATAATTAATTATGAGGAATGTGAGCGGAATTGAACCATTCTGCAGGTTTGTGGCTTCAAGTGTATTGCCAGTCTTAGTGAGTCAGCACAGTATGTCGCAACATGCAGTGGACAGGGTTCTGGAGAGGAGATCACAGCGTGCTGATGCTCTTCTGTGGGTCTTGACGGAGGTGGCAACAGAATCTCCTGCGTCCGATTCATCAGCTGCGTCATCGAATAGCCCGGGCTTTGTTGAATTTGGCAACAACCCACAATTTTGGCGATTGCTGAGTGAGTTCATCACAAGCACTGATGAAGCCATTATTTCCTTACGGAATCGTGTCACACATTTGGAAGCAAGTGTCAGTTGTGACACCTCATCTCAACGAGATGAAGTTCAATCTGATGTTCATCTCAGTGACTGAACCTGGACCTTGCAGAGGTTTCCAAAACAGTTCAATCATTCTTTTCAGTCACTTGCTTGCACAGTGTGGACCAGACCAGGAGAACACTTCCAGAGAGAGTGTGCTTGCGTGTGTGTCAAAAAGTCGGTGATGTGTACAATTCCTCAGGATGATGTGCCATGTTTGATCAGACACCAGTTGAGTGCTCTCAGAATGTTAAAATAATAGCACATTGTCACCTGTCAGTCTGTCCTGATTCGCAGCACTACTATTTGTCAAGTGAGTCAGTGAAGCATCTTTGCAATAGCGCTACTTGCTGCTGGTTCGCCCATTGCAATGGGGAACCGATTTTGTCCACACCGAGCAGGAGCTTCTTTGCGTCCGTGTGGTCATCGCGATAGTGGAGGAAGCTGTTTGTTCAAT